TTGTGTACACAGAGGCTACTGCATATGTAAACTCTTCTTTGTAGAGATTATTTCACACTTCATATATATCATACTGTCTGTTGTTTTTTTAGAAATGTTTGAAAGAGAAATATCTGGATATTTTTGGGTGTTACATTTTCATGGTGGTTAGTGGTGGGTCCTTGAAGTTCGATTCCACTCCTGAGCTCTTTCTGTGTAGAATGTGCATTTTCCTCCTGTGACTGTGTCAGTGTTTGCTTCCTTCCTCAGTTCAGAACTTTACTGTGTAAGTTTCATGTCATCTCTGTAGGTTCTCTGTGTGCGTACTGTACAGTATGTGTGCCCTGCACTGGACTGGCGTCCTGTGTATAGTGAGTTCTGTCTTGTGCCCATTGTCTTCCATGGTCTTCGGGTTGCTGAGACTCTGTTTTGGACTATTTGTAAAAGATAATATTGGAAACTGAAAGACTGTCACATGCCACCATTATATTGTATTTGTAACATAACTCAATGAGACTACAGGGTTGGATTCAAAAAGTATAAAAATCAATTAACTACTTTGCATTCTGTTCACAAAAAGGCCTTATGTTGCTTGTGTCTTTACCACCAAACAATGTTTTTGGTGTGTGCCAGAGATCATTTTAAAACAGCTTTATCATTTTTTGTCTGACCAGCTGACCCTAGCTGCAGATTTTATTTGAGAGATAAATATAGAGTGCAGCTGTGCTCTTAGCTTTAGTCCGCCTGCCTAAAGTAAAACTGAAAATCGCTAAAAATATTACAGCCATTTTCACTGGGTTTTACGATCCCTAAGTACAGAACTAGCAACATTTGCTTTAATTTGTAAACACTTAATCTTCATTTTGTATAGTTTTCCCTCTGCGGTGAAACAAAAATTAGACAATAACACACAAACTTGATGAATAATAATGAACAATTTGGAAAAGTGTCATTTAGATACATTATACTGTACATTAATAACAGTCAAATTATGTTTGCAACCAGGAAACAGGTAATTACACTCTCTGTGTAGCATTTGAGTTGGCTGATGTGAGTCCTTAGCTTTCATGTTAGCAGTGAGAACAGATTGTGTCTGTAGGTTTGCAGTTCACTTTGACAGTGTTCTTCAGGCAGCAGCAGTGTTTGAGCTGAATATTGCACAGACTTAATATCAAACCACAGTTTGTGTCACGACGTCTTTCTCAAACATATCGATAGGTCTTCGTGTATTGGATAATGATGATGATTACAATGATTTAAAAGTTTATTAATATTTTGTTACGTTTTGTGCCGTTTTCATGTGAAAAAACAGAATAGACTAAATCTCAGATTGCACATCTGAAGAGGTTCTGCAGCTGAAGCAGAACTAAAGCATTGTTATGGCGTGGGCTTATGATTTCCTAATCATCCCCTTCAAAACCTTGATTGCAGTGTTTCTTCTCTTCACGCTTATAACTTTCGAATGTGGTAAAATTGACCATACTGTGTGGACAACAGGATTACTGCCACTGACATGCCGTATGTCCTTGATTTTGTTAATGGCCTTTTTTTTGTGTACAGTATGATTGACAGTTCTATAGAGACTGCTTAAGGAAGAAGACAGTATATAATACAGCACTAATTGTATTAGGCTGAGGTGATGAGCTGCGTCAACTTGAATGCTGCAAAAGTAACGTGCTGAAAACAAGGTGGAATACACAATAGTGCCTACAGCTGAAATTTTTTAGTGTTTCACACTCCTTAGATTTGCGTTGTGCTACTGTAGGTTGAAATGAAAGCAAGCTAATGATTTCTCTACACCCAAAATTATAGCTACATCTGAGAAGTCAATTTATGATTCTCCAATGGACACCCATGCTGGTGAAAGAAAAGTATTTATACTAAAACAATGTTATTCAGAAAGCCCTAGTATTTACAGTAGCTAGCCTGAAGCAGCATTTTAAAAAGCAGAGTCTGTAATTCAGTATACAGTAATGAGTAGACCTTTCCCTGTCTTTGATTAAAGAGAGGACAGCAGGGAAGCATGGTTTCTCAATCTTCATGTAAGATGTATTGAATGGACTGAGGTCTTATACCATTATCCACCCATCCCGCACAGGCGCAACCAAATTTCTTTGCATACTAATCAACAAAGGGTTTTGATCAGTTCAGTGTAGAAAGTAATCATCTGTTCATGAGCTGCTCGATTAGTGTGGCCGCATACATTTCTATAGAAAAAATAAAGCTGCTTCAGAATTTTTCATGCTATGTTTTCCACTTCCAAATTGACAGAGCAGCTAGTAGTACAGCAGTCCTGATTAATTCAGGATTATTGTGTATTTTTCTTTTCAATTTCAGCTCCACTAAATCCCAAGAAGAGTTCGGTGATTGTAAGAGCTTTTCCTTTCTAAACATAGTTTGGCTTTATTGGTCAAGGGAAAATAACTTAAATGCACGTGACATTTCATTTGCTGGTAGCAAATTGAAAAATGAAGATCCGTCAGGATCCCTCTTGTAGATTATAGCTGAAATGGCTGTGATGACCAACAATTCACAGCATTTCTGTGCCCGCAGATTCAAATGTTTTGTGTCCTAGCTGCAGGTCTGCAGGTCTCTCTGTCTTTCCCTGGGTGATTCCTAAAGGAGCTTATGGTGTAATATCCTGATGGAAAAGGGCTTTTTAAGCTTCAGTACATGACTGATCATAACCGGAGAATCTGTGTTAAATCTGGTCCTGACATTTTTTGTGTGTCTTCTCTTTTGTGCGCTGTGCAATGTGAAGAGTAGCCCTTGATTTTTCTACATGAATCTGCCTGCTGATTGTGTCCTGGTTTTAAAAGAAAAAATGTTGAGATAGTCTTTTTTTTTTTACTAACAAAAGAAAAGACAAGCCTATTATTGCAGGAGATAGATGTGTTCTCAGAAAGGGGCTGTTAGTATCACATGCCCAGTACCGGGAAGTGTATGAAGAAATCCCTCCAGGAGGAAGGCGAGTGGATGTGCAGTGCCAATGTGGAAGCTAAGGACAGTGCAGCTTAATCGGGCAAGCTTTGGTGTCTGCAAAAGCTGCAGGGGTATTGCGCTGACTTGCAAGTAGTTATGATTCCGAGCAAGATTTTAGTTTACCGAGGGCCTGATGGGGGCACGCGCACCGAGACATTTCGGAGCACCAGAAGACGAAAAAAGTCATGCGGAGAATTGTTTCAGAATGGGTACCGAGTCAAGATTAGTCATGGACACGGAGCAGAGAAAGAGGACCCCGACAACTTCCGGCATTCTCTGACTTCTTGTTACAACGTGGTCTCCTACTGGGGTAAGGATTCTGCGTTGTAAAGATTCTGTCTAATAATACAAAACAGATTTGTCCTGAAAACATCATAGTGTTTAAAACCCAGTGTGGAGGCTAAGTCCTACTGTACATGTCTGACATTATATTGTTGGAGTATTGAATTCTCTAACATATGGGGGAGTGGACAAGTCAATGTCTGTATACTGTATATAAAACTTGAATTGACCCCCTTCTTTCTTCAGTGGTAAACAAGAATTCTTCAAGCTTTGATACTTTTGCTAACTAGGACTTTATCAAATGTTTTCCCATATTAATAATCAAGTTACAGAACAAAGAGTTGCACAAATATGCAGACAATCGGCAAGTTCCTTCCTATCATTCTTTAAAACAATATTTGTATGCTAATTGTTATACAGTTATATTGGGAGCCTTAAAACTATGGACAGCTGTAGGAAACTTGCCATTTTATATGACAACACATTTAGAGTATTCAGAGGAAAATTATTAATATTGAGACAGCTGTAGGTGCATTGTTTTTAGCTTGGTGGTTTATGGGTTTTCATAATATGCTATTGAAATAACACGCAGCTTTTTTAATCAAATCCGTTACTTGTGGTTCCTGGATCAAGATTGGTTCTTTGAAAGAATGAGCCTTGGCGTGGTTGGAACAAAATGGTGCACAACTGGAACACAACTGTAAACTGGACAGACTGTTTCTTTTTGAACGACCAAGAGCCTGTCTTTACTGGGAAAGGTTATTCTGTAGTCTTTGCATTCTTGTGCAATGTTGGAATTAGTGGGAACGTGTATAATGTGAGACGTTCGCTGATAAGAGCTACTGTACAGCACATAGTGAAAACCCCTGTGTACACAAAATACGTTGTGTCTCGCATTTATCCATATCCCTCTCCTCAGTCACTAGAACCTGGTTTGGGTTTATTATTTGGATTTATTCCTAATAAGGGAAATGAAAGGAAGCCTGTACCTTATGAAATGCATGATCTACTGATGTTGGAAACAAAGACACAGATAAGCTTCACCTTCTGAACAACATTCTCATTTTGTTATTAATATATACTGTATAAAATAAAAATTGTAGTTATTTTTTGTATGTGAAATACTTGCACCATTTGATAGGTTAATTTGGATATAATAGGTAAAATGAAACCATAAGGAGTGTCACTGACTGTACCTATGCTGCCTGACTGTATCTAGGAATGTGATCTTTTACAGCTGTCCTTGAATTCTGCTGGGCACTATTTCCTGATGTAACGTTTCGAAATGGTTACCATTTTTAGGTTTACGTCAATGGAGCTACTAGTTCAATCACGTCTGTCCACCTGCTTCTGGTTTAATCCAGGTTTTCATCTCACACAGTTTCGTTCTTGAAACCTTGTAATCAAATTATTTATCTGATAGACAGTGTTTGCAGAGATGCCTTGAGGAGCCTGTTAAGAAATCTGAAATCTACCCATTCTGTAATGTTCAGTCAGTTTTGTTATTATTTAAATTGCTTCAATTTTCTAAGTCCTTTTTTTGGATAGCTTTAAGTTAGGCATTTGGTAGGATTGTTCTTTGAGTTGCTCATGAAAGCAATCAAATTGCTAAAGATGGATGATCATTTGAAAGGTATCAGCATTGCAAAAAAAGTATTACTGTGTTATGCTATGTTATGTTATTAAATAACGAGACAATGTGTCAAAAGTTAAATCGCTAGACTATTTTCTGATGGGTTTGTTTTTCCTTTATACAGGTTTAAGGTTTCTAAGAGCCTTAAGACTGATACAGTTCTCAGAAATCTTACAGTTTCTGAATATCTTAAAAACAAGGTAAGTTATTTTTCTGATCTTGAATTGATTACCTTTTGAAAAGGGAATTTTTATAATTGACAATTTCAGTTGAGTATATGTGTTACTGAATCATTCACATTTCCAGTCACTGGTATCATAATATGATTTTGGCTGGTAATCATTGTACCGTTATCCAGCAGTAATTCCAAATATCCAATCCATGTGTTTCTGCCATATGTAGGATGTTAGGAGATAAACTATTTCAGTCCACAGGGTAAGAACAAGAACAACTATTTTGTGCAGTTTTAGAAATATGGAAAAGTCACTCAAAATTTGTAAGCATGTGGAATGCAGTTATCTTAATACTGTAGGTTGCAAGTAGCTGTACTGGCATTTCCCTGTTTTGATCAATGATTTGGTTCTTAAAAAAAATAAACAAGCTAATCATATTTCATTACACTGTGGCTAGCAGACAGCACCCACTTGGTATGAGGCATTATTCAGCATTTGGTGCTACAGTACTTCAGATTGCTGTGTGGTGTTCACAATGACGGCTGATAAAAGCCTTTAATTTGTATCTGTAGACACATAAAATTGGAAGGGATAAATTATAGATTTGTTGTTCTGTGTATATAAAGTTCCTTTATCGTGAATTAATCTCATGACTAAGTCCTTTAAACCAATACTGACAAGTAGGCTGCAGAATCTTTTGGTACCAAGTGAAAGTGCTAAATCAAGTTGATGTGTTTTAATATATAGTAAATTATATAAATGAGACTTCTTGTACCAAAAATATACATTTTATACTGTCTAATTGATCACGAATTGGTTAGCCAAATGTATTTTCAAGTATTTTAGTATTTCAAAATATTACAGAAGAGCTTTTCTGAGGTAGGAATATTGATTTGTGTTGAAATGTTTTCACAAGAAATACAATTCATTTTAGAATAGTTTGCTGTAATTCTTTTCTTTCTGAAAGCTCTGCATATGATGTGGCCATGCCAGTTTCCCTGCTGCTTAGAATTAAAGCTTTAGCACAGATGTCAGGAAGAGCTTAGGGCTCAACAAAATGCTTTAGAATAATCCCCTCACTCAATTCAGACTGATGGAGGTAAAGATAGGGATACTTCTCAGCACATGGTAGAATGGGAGCACAGAAGTGCTGCAGTTCATAGTGTCAAAAGAATGATTCCATGTCATTTTATCGGCAATAGAGACAGGTCCCCGGGCTGATTACAAACACTTCCATTGATCGATTTAAAACCAGTAAACAAATGGTTCATTTCTCCTTTTCAGAATGAAAACATTTTTAATTATACAAGTAATAGGGTTATTCCATGCTGAAAAGAGAAGAAAGAAAACACAACGTTTCGGCCGTGGAGCCTATATTTGCTTTCAGTGAACTGTCCTAAAAATTTCCAAGCTATCCATATGGAATAATTGGTCCCTGATGAGAGTTAAATTGAGTCTTGTCCATTTGAATGAAACAGCGATTTAATCAAACCTGGAAGTGCCCAGCGTTTGATAATATGATGCTGAAATTATAACGTTTCCTCTTAACGATGTTGGCAACATCTTGAGTTCTTTTGTAGAAAAAAATCTCTTTGAAATGTCAGCTAAGGTTGCGGGCTATTAGACTGTAGAACCTAAAATCCTTAAACCATCCCATCTCTGTCCAGGAACTAAAGTATTTTCATTCAGCTTCACAGGTACTGGTTGGCTCAAGAGATATTACTTCTTTCATTGCTGTGGTGTTAGAATTTGGCAGGGATTTAGCTTTATAATTCCTTTTATCCCTGAGGACTTGAAAAGAGGAAAATAATTTCTTTATAGGTGCATTATTATTAGCACATTATTTGAAAAAGTAAGTAAAATATTTTTGAACGATATTGTAAAACCACCCATAAAAACTGCAAATTTAAAGCAACATAGAGTTTCATAAAATAAATACGTTTTTAAGTTTAGATATGGCTAATTATCAATAGATGTTCCAGTGTTTTTAAAGAGTCTGTGTATTTCTCTGCACTCAATTTGCCTTAATCATCTGTTCTTTGTTATTATAATGTCAATATATATTTTTGTATTTGAAAAAATATTATGACCCCCAATGTCTTTATATTCTTAAAGAAAGAGTCATAAATATGTACATTTTGAAATGTGATGTGTCGAGAACAGAACATATTGTTCATTCTGCTAACTGAATTTTGCGAAGTGAAACATCATACTGATGTATTTACACATCAGGGGGGTTACAAATGAGAGGAGACCGTTTAGCTAGTAGCTCATAGCTGTTTGATCCATTTTTTCAGAATATCAGCTTCGGGAAAAGGGCTGGGCAACTTGTTCCATACTCCCACAGCCCTTTGTGTAAAGAAGTGGCACTTTTTCTCAGTTATATGTGCACTTCCTTTAGGTTTTACTTGTGTCGTCTGGTTCATGTTTCACTGTTGGCTCTGAAGAAGTGCTTTGGATTGACTTGGAGAATTTTCAATACTTGGACAAGATCACCTCATGCTCCTGTCTATTCTGTTCATTTTATCCTGTCAGGGAATGTTGTATCTGGTCAGTCTTGTCAGGACCTCCAGTAAGGCAATATCTTTTTTGCAGTGTTTGTTTTCACTTTCACCCTGGTCCTTTGCTCTAGGTGAAGCAGTTTTCTTGTGAGTAATAAAACAACTGGCAAGAGAGAGAAAAGATGGAAGAGACCGATTCATTGACATTCCAAGCATACTCACAGTTTAACCTTGATAGAACCAGGGATTCTGTATTCTGACAATGTACATTAAAATCATACTTATTTAGCACACAGTGTATGACTTAACAATTGTTTTATTTTTATATCCTGTTACGATTTAAGAACATAAGAATATTTATAAACGAAAGGTGGTTGTTCAGCCCAAGATCAGTTTATTTTCTTAGAGCTAGTAATTATAAAACTGTAAAAAGCCAGGACTTACAAACCGGAATCTAGAACAAGTAAATATTTAGAATCCAATTTACATTTTTATAAGGTGTGGAATACTAAAATAACTTTGTAATTCTTGTTTTCATTAGTAATTCCATCAAGCTTGTGAACCTGTTGTCTATATTCATAAGTACATGGCTAACAGCAGCTGGGTTCATACATTTGGTAAGTATAGACCACTATCACCTCTGTACTATATACAGTACTATACTGTATATAGGATGCTCTTAACTTACAGGAAAGTAAAAGAAAAGCAAAAGAGATGAATATTATATGCATTCAGGTTCAGGAATTAGCATTAATGCTTCTACTTTTACATGTTTGTATGTACAGGAAAATATGTCATATGCAAAACTCCTGTTGCAATACAAAAATATCATGCTTTTGTTTTATTATTGATTTTTTTAAATGAGTTCGAAAAGGAAGATGAGTATGTTAAAAAACAATCTGCCACTAGATGGTAGCATAGTCATGATTTATGGTAAAATGTCAATGTGTAGCAGTATGAAGCAGTTCTTCAGCAGCAAAAATGAACCTGATAAATATTTTAATTGCCACTCATGTCATCTAGCAACATGACTTCTTCCTCTGTTGTGATAATACTGTTGTTAAAGGGCACATAAATTCAGTATTAAAGCAAAACTCAGTCTAGACAGAGTGAAAGAAGAGTTTGGGAATTTAATTTAATTGAGAACGGTGAGAGGCAATGTTCACTGCTTAGAATAAATTTTGCTGTGCGTTCCAGGTGGAAAACTCAGGGGACCCTTGGGAGAACTTCCAAAATTCCCAACCACTTACTTATTGGGAATGTGTCTACTTGCTCATGGTTACTATGTCCACAGTGGGATATGGAGATGTTTATGCAAAAACCACCCTTGGGCGCCTTTTCATGGTCTTCTTCATCCTTGGTGGTTTGGTAAAAATCAGTTTATTTTTTCCCTCCATGTTGATTTCATACTTGCTGTCAATAATCAAAGTCCTTATAAACCTTATAATCTTTTAAGGTAAACTGTACAGTTAATAATTGTAATTAAATAACTTTTACGTTTGTGTTTTTTTGTATTCTTGAAATAATGGCTTAAATTACAGTAATGCTAACTTCAGTTATTTATATGTATGCTAGCTTCATTTTCCTCAGCAGTTGTTGTACTTTGATTATAATGATATTATGTTCATAGAACTAGAATATGTTTGATGCAGTGTGATAATGTTGTTGCTATTTTTTTAAAGCAGTTTGCGGTTTCAGGAGACCCCACCCTACTGTGTCCCTTCCCAAATTCCAACAAACACAGTGACAGGCAGATGCTCCATAGACCATCCTGACACAAACCCTAGGACCCATCAGACTGAGGTTCACAGAGTCTACTGCTCATAAATTTAACAACAATATACAGAAGGAACATAATCGAGAATATGTTTGAACATTCTTAATGAAATCCATCTTATGATTGATGGGCACATACCAATGGGGTGTGTGTAATATTGTTGCCATGTAAACTCAGTTTTACCAAATTAATTCTGAAAAAAGCCCCCCAAAACTAAAATCATTACTTTCTTGTGTTTATCCGTTGCTTTCCTGCATTTTATCAGAGTTTCAATTAATTAATTTATTTGTCACTAAATCTTTGTAAATTGTCTGCTCAAATTAAACTTATGTCGTAATTCAATTCTGCATTCAGTACCATTTACAACATGTGTTGGTGCCCATTTCCTTTATGGTTGTCTTGAGAATAAGAAAGCTGCAGGAGGTTCCCATTGGGTCAGACAAAGAGCAGACACTGTACATCCTTCATCGGAGACACAGGCTATGAAGTTTGCAAAATGCATCCAGCTCATTTTCACTGTAGTCCTAATGAGTCTTAATGTGTTTTGCAGCTGAGTCTCGTCAGGGTGCTCTATTTGAATCAACCTGGCACAGTCTAAGTGTTTGTTGGACAAAACATGGCACATAGATTATTTTTTCTCTTCATTGCTTTATAGATTTTTTTTTTCTTTCACAGAATGAGTATAAGTCACCTGTGGGAGCCTTTTTTTGAAAACCCAATACTTTTTTCAGTATCCCACATCCAAAAAAACTGGGGATTTGTCCTAACGTTTTTTTTTCTTTAAAAAAAACCCAATGATTTGAGCCCTGTCACAGAATATGATGAACCTATTCTCTTTAATTTGCAAAACAACTCTAAAACAATACCGATCATTTTGACAGCTTTGCTTCCCTCAGTTTTTCCTCTTTATAAACATACAGCTAGCATCTACAAAACTAGATTTTTTTTTCCCCTTCGTAGATCTAATTCTTTTGTATTTCCAGATCTTACGACAATATCCTCTGACAGTAGTGCCCCCTTCTTTGGCCTATCTTTTTTAGTCTTTTCTTCTGTCTCCTATCTTCTCCTTAGGCCATGTTTGCCAGCTACGTCCCTGAAATCATAGAGTTAATAGGAAACCGCAAGAAATATGGTGGTTCCTATAGTGCGGTAAATGGAAGAAAGTAAGTACTTCATGAGGCTCTGCTGCCTCTGCCGCAGTAGAACACTCTCTGCATGCCATTTTCTTTTTCTGTTTCATGCATGTAGGCCATGTTTGCTCGCTACGTGCCAGAAATTGCTGCTCTCATCCTTAATCGGAAGAAATACGGAGGGAGTTATAACTCAACTCGAGGCAGAAAGTAAGTCAAAACCAGACCAGGTGTGGTTGTGTGACCCAGGTCCCTTTTTACGGGGCGGTAGGTTCTGACCCACAGGAATATTTGTCTGAACTGTGACGTCAGATGTTACCTGTTAAAAAAGAAATAAGGAAATGGAATGTCACACTGTGACTGGAGACCTCGGCCACGATGTGTCGTGCTGTTGCTCTGTGTCGCCCTTCGTGAATCAGTACAAGCCATCGTTGTTCTTCTGCTTTATTTTTGCACATCCAGCTGTAAATTCCCACAGACTAGAGCTTTCATGACTGTGAAATATTTCTCTGGGCTTTCTTGGTTGCCATTCATTTGACATTTCCTACACATTTTTGTCCTATGTGGTAAATCAGCTGCTGAGTGTAAGATTTAGATCCTGGTCATTGTGGATGTGCTTAAGCTTTTCATCCTGAACAATAAGTCATGAAAACCCTAGTTTTTGTAACTACCAGTTATGAGTTTTAGTTCCCACCAAAATCTGACATGGGAGTCCCCATTTTCATTATTTTTTATTGTCCATCTGAGTGATTTATCATTTGTTTCAGTGGTTGTTACTTTGGCCTTAAAAGTCAGTTCGCTCAGTGGGTACTTCTGTTTTTGTCTGCTTGACTTCCTGCATGTTCTGTGTGTCTTGAGGTCTAGTGGCTTTTTCTTGGATGAGCATTTTCCTGAGAAAAGCCAGTGTCTCGTCTGCTCCCACTTGTTCATTCCCCATCGCTGTTTTACACTAATCTGGCCCTGATCTTCAGTCAGCCCCCACACCCTGAATCCCTGGATGCCTCAGCTTTCTGAATGCAGGCCCTCAATTACTTTCGGCTCACTTGCCCACTGGTCTTTGTTCTCTGTGTCTCATTTTTGTAGTCACAGTGTGTTTTGTAGGGTTTTTTTTTTCTGAACGTCTATGTGGCGAATCTGAAATCCCACCCACTTCCTGACTCAAACTCGGCTCTGTCATCAGCACATGGACTGCCCTATCTGCATTAAAGTCAAGCAGTTGGTGGTAAAGTCTGCTGCTAAATATTTTTAAACAGGCATTTGGTCACGCACAGCTTTCATTGTGCACATGTAAGGGCAAGAGCAGAGCAGAAAAGCCATTAGCACTTTTTTGTTTGATGCTATTTTCCTGTCACTAATACAAGATTGATGAAATGTTGTGTTTGGCCAGAGTTCCACATTTGGATTTGCAGTTTGGTGTTGAGAGAATGGGTTGTCAAAACGACTGAGTTTTTTTTTTCTTTCTCCCTGGTGTTACAGGCATGTGGAAGTAATTAGAATTTTACAGCCTGTAGTTCAACTATGCACAGAGTCTGGCAGCAGACTTTATAATAATATTTTTGATTTATATATACCGCTGTACCATTTTATACTTTTAGATGTGCAAGTCAACAAAATCTCATGCACTATTGCTAAGACCAAATACAGCGCTGTTAATGGTACAGTAGTATTCAAATAAACTGTTAACCCATGCTGATGTTTGACTTCACCTGGAGGTAGATCATTACACAGATATGCCTGTAAACTTGAAACAGTGTAGTAACAGAGATAACACCTGCTGCATTGATGCAACAAGGAAAAGAATGCCCCAGGCACATGATGCCTATCCTGTATTTTACATCAGCCTTTCTAAGAACAAAAGACTTCTCATACCCTAAGACATTCCAGATGTAATACAGTCCAGAATATGTCAATACACTGAATCTTTTTCACTTTACAAATGGTGGACACACACCTCAAGATACATCACACCCCAGTCCTAATGCATTTCTTATGTAACGTGTTATCTGCCTCGTTTGGAAGCTTAAGGCTAAACCCTTCCAGTATCAAAGTAAATGTCTTTATGGATGTTTATTCCTGATTTTTTTCTGCTTTTGAAAAGGCCATGGTTAGGCCGACGTTATAGATGTGCTGGAGCAGATAAAGGTTTTCCAGGTTACAGGCAACGTATTGTAAGTCCCGAGCCCTCAACACTGGCATAAGCTTAATTTCTCCAGTCTTGAACCGGAATCACCAGTCACTTGCAATCGAAAGGTTAGAGTTTGACAGTCTGGGATTTCTGTTTTTCTGAGCTTCCCAACTATGGATGTATTAGGATGGCAGCACAGGGGATGGATTCTCAGTCTCCACAGTCTGACATACTGTACTTTATTAGTTAAGTGCTCTGATTAGATGTGTCAATATGACCAGAAATGAATATGTTCTCTAGAACAAGGCCTAGAGAATCGACAAACAACGTTCTCAGATAAAATTCCTTAGTATGTAAGGCTCAGAGTCTTCTGGTATATTGTTTTTTTAAAACATCATGCACTGTTATTGAGGGTTAAATTAGGATTTTGGGGCTAAAATGACAACAGAAATGTGCAATCTTCAAGTAAAGGTTAATGCTGAAGAGAGATCTCAGTTTGATATGAGAACAGAAAATGTGATGATGGGTACAGTACAGCAAGGTAGGACTGGCCCAATGATATTAATGCACATTCCTTTTTAGTTGTATCCCGTATTGGAATTTGTAGCCTCATGTTCTGCTTGGTTGGACTCTTAAGCAAAGACTCTTCATCATAAGAAGCTGATGAAGAATACCGGAATCCAGTAACGTTCATATACAGTATCTCTCATAAGTGAACCTTACTGTATGTACAGTAAAGCATAAATAAATGCTGTGTAATATGTCTAAGAGCTAAAGATTTCACCAAATTCGAAATTGTAAATCCTGTGTGTCGTATTGCAATACACAGGTCTGTTTCATGGAAGATGTAGACCTGATGTGAGATCTTTGTGAAGATCCCTGTAAGGATTAGAGCAGTAGCAGAGTGTTGTGGCTGGATCTGTGGTGCTGATGTTGGAGCTGGTTTTCCACTGTGTTCTAAGGATCACTTATTACACTGTTATGCCTGCATGTCCCAGTCTTGCATGCCACCCCTCAGCTTTCCTGTGTACTTGCTTGTTACTTGTTGTGGTCCTTTGTGTTGTTGTACAGTATGTATGTTAAGTTTAACATTCTTACATGTCATACGCCACATGTCTACTGTATACTTTAAATAAGTCAATTCACAATAAACATGTTTTGGGCACAGTAAAACAGTTAAACATACACAGCCACCATAGGCATGTGCACATGTGTGTAAACCAAGCAGGACTAATCATAGTATCATGCAAACAGGCCTAGAAGTCATTTCCTTCTCAATATGAAAGGGTAAGTGCTCTTCGACAAGCAAACCTAGAAAACATCACAGGTTCACCAGGAGATAATAGAAGAAGTTTGGAAACAAGAATCTTAACAAAAACTTAAAGTGTTGATTATTGACCTTGTTCATTAAGTTTTTAAGTCACTTCAGAATACCATTTCATACAAAACTATGGAAATGTTTACATTTGGACTTAACTTGTCTTGTTGCAAGCCACTTTTTTAACAAAGAAAAACAGAAACAAAGAGAAACAAAGATAAAAATAAACAAATGACCTCACATTAACAGAAAGCCATTTGGGAGAAGAAAATAAAAATACTACTAATAATATCATTTTGCAAGAAATGGGGGTGAAGTATTGTACAGGGTACCATGCAATAAATGCTTTAGGTGCTTTTTCCTTGTGTGAGAATATGAAGCCAATTCAATTTTTCTTTGGACAGCAGTGTGATCAATGACCGCTACAAAATGAGCTAATCAATTTTCAACCACAGCAGTCTACAGTAATCCAATACGTAGACGTTAAATATCCATAGAACCAGAAGGCTGTTTGTTCCTGTAGTCACTAATTGTCTTTTGGCTCTCTGCTTTGGCTAGAAAGCAGAGTTGAGCATTGTTATTATGAAGATTGTCTTACAGGGTTTGCGGATCCATTAGGAATCATTCCTTCATATGTGGCTGCTTTCCTAAGTCGTGGTTCGACATTCATGTGTTTGGAATTCCATTCTTTGATTTCTGAAGTTAAAATGCTAACTTACGAGTCATAAAAGTTCATTGAGACTAATTTTTACAAGGTTTGTCTATCGGAGTTTTAGAAATTACTTGAAACTTCTCAAGTGACATTAAATTGGCAGTTTTCATAATGGATCTATTCAAGTTATTCATTCTTTATAATTATGCTAACAGCTCATTAGTGTTGTCAGAGACTGAATGTAAATATAGCGATGGTCACAATTATGGGCTTATCTAACTGAAATACAACTGAGAAGGGAAGAATCAGCATAAACAATTTATTATTATGGAAATGTAATGATATCCAAGAGACAAAGTTTTATAGCCCTTTTATTGCAAATGTTTATTTGAATTGAGCCCCCTTGGTAGCTTTCATGGTGGCCCGTGCTCAAGGCATTTTGTCATACAAATTCAACAACAAATCTATTTGGCCATTTATTAGTCAGTCCTAATCATCTCCTTGATCTTTTTCATTGTATACTTCCTTTTCTCCCTTTGCCTGATTGGCTGTCTTTTTAGGGTTTGTGACCCAATCAAACATGTCACAGAATGACTTATAATAATAATAATTGCTTACACTTATGTAGTGCTTTTCTGGACACTACACTCAAAGCGCTTTACAGGTAATGGGTTCTCCCCTCCACCACCACCAATGTGCAGCCCCACCTGGATGATGCGACGGCAGCCATAGTGCGCCAGAACGCTCACCACACATCATCTGTGGGGAGGAGAGCAGAGTAATGAAGCCAATTCATAGATGGGGATTATTAGGAGGCCATGATTGGCAAGGGCCAATGGGAAATTTGGCCAGGACACCCTTACTTCTCATCTGAAGGACGGCACTTATTTACAGTATAGTGTCCCCGTCACTATACTGGGGCATTAGGACCCACATAGACCATGGGGTGAGCGCCCCCTGCTGGCCCCACTAACACCTCTTCCAGCAGCAACCTTAGTTTTTCTCCCATCCAGGTACTGACCAGGCTCACACCTGCTTAGCTTCGGTGGGTTGCCAGTTGTGAGTTGCAGGGTGATATGGCTTGTCTTCCTGTGGTATCATCAGCACTACACAACATTCTGACAATCTTGCTCTTTGAGCTGAAACACTGGGATGAAGCTCTTTCCTCTGCTCCCGACACTTTTATGTTCACTTTCATTTGGTCTAAATCTTTATTGTTTAGCTCTTTGTGGCAAGCCAGCTGAAGAAAGGGCCGCATTCACAGCAGTCCTGCTACGTGGAGCCATCATAGCACCTCTAACTGGTGTAAATAGCCACACCATGATTATTGATATTCTCACAGGGATGTAATTAAACTTTGTTTCATCTATAAAGAGTGTGCCAAACAAAGTTTTGTTTGCATTTTTTTCTATATTGTGAGAAACTAGAAAGGCCTGCATTGCCCGAATAAGGCCTCCTACATTGACTTTTCAGCCATTGTATTTTTTGTAGGTAGGGTTTCTCACCTGCCTTAACGTTTGCTCATTTGCAGTATTCTTTATCAAATGAAACAGTGAGTCACTAATATGAAATGAACGAACTTGATGCCGAAGTGAAATCAGCTAAGGGCTGATTTGGAACCAGTTAGCCTGTTCTTTAATCATGCTGTATTTTCTCATTTACTCCACATGTAAGTGGATTTAAATGCTTATCTGTGCAGTTCGTGGCTTGAGCTTCACCAGACACGTAGATTTTTTCTGTGTTGCTAATTTCTGTTTTCGAAAACTACCCTCCTACTTACTGCATTTTGTGAGAATACATGAACATACTGCAGGGAAATATTAAGTTTTGAAAAAAGAACAAAATGCTCTCTGCTTAAGACGAAAATGTTTAAGATCATGTATATATAAATTGTTCCAGTGTTAATGTCCACACATCCACCTTTAGCAAAATGTACTGTATAGTCTTGTTGGGAGGTTTGCTTGTTTTCATTAAAAACGTTTCACTGAATGATTGAGACTGACTATTCAAATTGTGATTAAGTCAAGGAGCTGCTACCTGAAGAGTAGAGCTCAGTATGTTTCCACTATTTAAAATATTTTACTACATCATGTTCACGTGATAGTATTACAAATCTATTTTCTTCATAGTCATTCAGCAACTTGCAAAGTCATAACATTGTTGTATTGAAATGCTATTTACTGAATAGTTTTTCAAACAATAATACTTAGTATTTTTGTGAATTTTTTTTTTTCTTTTAGGTTAATCCAGTTTTTAATTTTTTCTCTTAAATGCTGTGTTTTTTCCCTACAGGCATATTGTGGTCTGTGGTCATATTACACTTGAAAGTGTATCCAACTTCCTGAAAGACTTCCTGCACAAGGACAGGGATGATGTCAATGTAGAAATCGTTTTTCTCCATAAGTACGTTTCGGAGTCATTCTGATAACTGTGTTCATCTTGGAACACTAACGTTAACTACTTCAGTTGCACAAACATTAGGGAGTCCTACCAGTCCAATCCCATTTCCCTCTCATTCAGCCTTGAAGACCACTGTTGCAAGAATTATGAGTCTGAATATTACAGAACAGTCTAAATTACCAGTAGAAAATTAATCCAATTTTTTTGTATCATGACTCAGAATGAAAAATAATTTAGAAGAAGTCTCCTTAAAGTTACTATATGTACTGTATTTTTTCTCATGCGTTTGCCATTGCTACTTTGTGCCGATTACAAAAAAGTCCCTGACACTTTCTGTACTTTCCATGACAGTATTTCCCCTAATCTTGAGCTGGAAGCCTTATTTAAACGACACTTTACTCAGGTGGAATTTTATCAAGGATCTGTTCTCAACCCCCATGACCTAGCCAGAGTGAAGGTAACCCTTGATTCTTTCATTTCTAGTTCTTTTTTTCTATATTGAACAATTATTGTAAATCTTAAGTTCCTCATTATCTGTTTAGCTGACAGTTGTGCAAAGGTTTCTAGGAGTAATGTAAGGAAATACTTTGATTTTGTCATCATTAGCAAAACATCTGTAAATATTGTTTTAACTGTATACCCAGTAACCTAGATTTCTGTTACTGTACTTTACAGTAAGTTGTGACAAGCAGCAGATAAGATTGTAAAGGCACCAGTCAGGGTGATAAATTGTTTCTACTGTAAAAGTAGACGTGGTTTCCAGAAAGCTCACTCTTTTTCTTTTTTTCATGCTCAGATAGAGTCAGCAGACGCCTGCCTAATTCTGGCTAATAAATACTGTGCAGATCCCGATGCTGAAGATGCATCTAACATCATGAGGTGAGACACATGACACTGTGGTATTACAACAGTTCTGCAGAGGCCTATTTTGGGATCCCATTTATCACAATGGGCTGTGTCATATGGTTGTATAGATCATCTTTATCACTGCAATAAATTGACGGGGGAACCTCTACAGTGTGTACAGTATACGTGAAATCAAATATCTATAAACGGAAGTTGCAAATAATAAAAAATATTACAACTGTAATGAGGGTGAGAGAGAGCATGCATCTTAAAAGATGAAGATGTACAGTATAAGAGTTTTTCAGTCTCTTAGTTTTGTTTATTTATTCTAACATCTTGTACACCCACCCCTGCTACCACGATCATATTGGCAAATTGAACTCCCTGCAGTTTCGAGTTGTGCACGCACTAAAGTAAAGTAACAGGGAACCTGGGACAACATGACACGCTTGTGTTGCAACACCCTGGATAGAGCAAGTCTGTCTCTGATCAAGTAAACACCATTGATTGGTGAGTAGCCCATCACATTCAGCTACGGTCTTTTTCACACAGCAATGATGCCATTTCTGCACTGCTGAACATGGGCACGCCTGCTTCCTGTCAGGCGAAAGTAGAGCGACAAAGATGACATCATTATTACTGTAGCTCGGTGACCCACTGGACGTCTACATCAGTTGTCTTAGTGCCAATTAACAAACGAAACTGAATTAATAAATACAAGTGCTCTAAAGAGGACTAGCGCTGTTGTTGCTGCTTTTTGTAATCATGTAGTGTTTGTGTCCCTCAACCATTTTAAGGCACAAAGTGATCTCAGAACTGCAGTGGGCCATGAGTGTACTGGGGATAAATGATGCTCAGACTTTTAAACGGAGTATTTCATACTGCTTCCTTTATTTAGTAAAATAATGCTACTCACTGTGAAATTAAAAAGAAAATCACCAGAATCACTAGCAGTATTTGATATTTCTACATTTACAGTATACAGTATAAGCGCATTGTGTAAATGTCAGCTGGAAGAGAATATATATGAGGCCCTGAAAATGTACAAGGCCATGCTGCCTAATACAGACCCAAACATATTGCATATTGTTTATTGCTATCATGTCGAGACTGATCTGTCTATAAAAATGTTCACCCCAAAGATCTGCCTGAGAGGTGAGATTTTGTCTGAAGCTATAGGACTATTTTTTTATAGCTTTTTCCTGTTGCGCTCAAAGGGATGACAGAGCATTGAGTGCCATTTTTAAAACAATGGCATGTTTCTTTAAACTCCTAAACAAAAAATTGAAAGCGGCTTTTCCAATTATAACAGGTACACATCTGCCAAGAAGACGAATAATAAGAGGAATAACAGCCTTCTGTGGAATGACAAGCCAGTGTATCCTCAGAATTCCTGAGTTGTCATTTCTTAGGCAGCACAAGATATTCCTTGTCATCTGCTCTTGTTTGGTGAATCCATCAGTATTTTTAAAATAGCTTTCAATTTTACCAGTGCACTCAGCACTTGTATTATTTTTATTATCATAATCATCATTCAAAATCCAGCTGTCATTTATGCTTTTCCTATGATTTCATTATGTGCTGGATTTTTTTCCTATTAACGTGTCTCGTTGTCACATTAAGGATGGAGCATAGAAACCTTCATTTTTTCACTATATGTTAAGTTGCACTTACTGTAAGTACTGTCAGCAAACAGTATAACCTGGAGACCTAAAGTTTCTTTTCAATTGTGCACACGTGCCTTGAGACAGCCTCTAATGTCCTGCAAGTAAGTCCATCTAGTTTAATGAATGTGCTTGACACACTTGTCATAGAAAAAGAGTGGAACATTTGAATGAATGAAGTACTGTATAGCTTCATTATATGTGCCTCTTTAGCGCTGGGCATTTTCACAAGACTCAGCATTTCTCCAAAAAAATTAATTTAGATGCCACAAAACCAAATTAGTTGTAAACTGAGATGAACATGGTTGGAACCATGGATGCCTTAGTTACACAGCAAAATGTCCTGTATTTTGAGAACCTGAGGGAATGCTTGCATATCATGTTTAAGGTTTCCATCTACATTTGAAACATTTCTCACTGATCCCATTGAAGATTCAGTGAATTAACCACAGATTAAAGTGTTTTGAAAGACAGAATCCACAGAAAGCTCATTGAGCTCTTTATTTATGACATGCCTTAAAGCAGCCGCATCTTACCAGGTTTATGTGCTGTTGTCAACAATAGCCTTGAAAATGCAGTATGAGGGAGGTACACATGAATAAGGTAGTGGGTCTGGCACATATTAGCAATAACTTTAGACTAAAAATCAGCTGGAGAAATGTAACTCCCCACCCCCATCCCTTAAATCATTTTTTTTTAATTTAGGCTAAAGCTTTCTGCTCCAATACATTTTTTCATATAACTTTTAACTGTTTTTTCTTTGGTTTTGTAGGGTAATCTCCATCAAGAACTATCATCCAAAGATACGAATAATCACGCAGATGTTACAATACCACAATAAGGTGAGGAAAAGGGAATTTTCGTTATACACATGATGTCTTCAAAACAAGCCAGCATTTCTGACCTCTTTCAATTGTCAGTGCTTTGATTTCTTAGTATGTTTCTAGACAAAGAAGCAATTGTAACATCCTTGTACTTTTCCAGGCCCATCTGTTAAACATTCCGAGCTGGAACTGGAAAGAAGGGGATGATGCAATTTGCCTTGCTGAGCTGAAGCTGGGCTTCATTGCGCAGAGCTGCCTGGCTCAAGGTCTCTCAACAATGCTAGCCAACCTGTTCTCCATGAGGTCATTCATCAAGGTACTGTTGCGCTCTAAGACTATGTACCACATACCATGAGGTATTGATTTGTCCACTGGTTTAACAAAACAAATGCAGGTCATCATACTTCATTTTTGTAATGCACGCACACTGCATGTTAATCTTTTCTTTGTAAAAATGCGCCATTTGGGTATAACATAAAAGTCACCTTTAAAATAATATTTAAGGTTGTGCTCTTATTTTGGCACATTTGTGAAGCAACATTTTTTTTTGTTATTATAAAGTAGTTCATTTGGTTTTTCGGCACCGCCAAATAAGCATAGTTTGAAATTAGTGGTTTGACTTTTAAGATTAACTGTCCTTAAGAGGTCTAATATAGATTTGAAATTCAAACCATGTGTCAGTCTTGTGAAATATATGTTTTGTACAGCATCAGAACCCATTTGTATTTTTAGCACAATGTGTTGCGTGGTTGCATCCTTAAGAAGAATGAGTCTGGACACATTCATGGTGTATTTCTCATGGGACGTTTTAGAAAAATACACTACATTTAAATTAATGGAAACCAGTCCCTAAAATAGGTTTTTGCTTTACCTTAATAAAGAGGTGAACTTTTTAGGCAATGACATGACATACTTTTATATATAAATATGATTCAATACTGTATATTAAGGCTTTTCGGGAAAGCATTTTAAAGAGAAGTGATCAAACTCCTGTTTGTTAGAATTTGATGGCTGAAGGACAATAGAGCAGAGATTTAAACACGAAGGTTAAATGTGTGCCCACTATGTAGGCTTGCTGAAGGGGAACAAAACATAATTGCACACAAATGTTGTGGCTGCTTCCTCAAGGCTTCTGTCTTTCGAAGTAATGTTTTTGGAATAAGGGGTCTGCCTTAAGGATATGTAACAGTCATCACTGATTTTCAAAGCATTTCCTCATCCACGTAAAGGCTTATGCTGTGTCTTTCCCTTTAATGGTTACATTTGCAATTTGAATTGCTGTTTCAGTTCCTGTATTTAAACTGGATGTTTTTATGTCAATAAAAGGATCACTTCTTTAATCTTAGAACATTCATAGTTTTAAAAGATCTTTAATTTGAACAGGCATGATAATAAGTGACACAATGTCAGAATACATGTAAAGAAAACCTGTATCCAAATTTCCACTAGTATTTAACATTTTTAACATAATAGCAAACGAATTGTACTTTCCTAACATGTTAAGTCAATCAAAACCAATGGCAAAGAATCACTGGTGAAGTTACATACTGTAGACTTAATTCACTGAGTGACTTTACAGCGGTATGATTTATTCAGACTGTCTGTCCAATCTCTAATTTAAAACAAACATCAAAAACCAAAATGTTATATTTGAACCTAATTTTTTCCTTTTGGTTTTATAGCATAAAAGCATATGGAATCTTTTATTTAACTTTTGGCAACAAATTAAACGGGATGACTGAAGCCAAAATGTATTATAGCATTCAACTATAATAAAAATACATGCTGTAATGAGACATTTAAAAGGGCACCATTAAAGATGGTATTGAATTGAAGAGCAAATCTTAAAGAAGAAAAAATCCTGTAATTGTCTTGATCTTCCTTTTCATATTTCTGGCACCAGATTAAGACCCTTCAGAGCACTAAGGGAACGATGGAGTCAGGACATTTTCTGGATGATCATAGTTCATTATGGACAGGATATGAATGCAATGTTTCCAAAGCAAGAAAAAAAAAGTTAATCAATAAATGAATGGCTCATGGGTTTTATGCTGCAGATTTGGTGTGGAATGTGTCTGTCACTTAAAAACTGATGGTTTATTAACAAGAAAGAGAACCTGAGAACCTGGAGAGTTGAGCTTTAAAAAATGTCCTGTTCTTTTGTTCAAGACAAAAGCAAGATAGCCTGTCTCACAGTTCTTCATCATGGACAATTAGGAAGTGGACCAGAAGGGAATTTGGAGGTTATAATGACAAGCCTGCAATGACCAATCTGTTATATTTTGCATAACAGCCCTTGATCATTATTGACAGATAAAGATTGGGCAATTAATTGCAAGGCATTGGATCGAGTAGCAGTTCAGACCATTATTAAGTATTCCATGTACATTATTTGATTTTAAACTTTAAACATTGCCTTTATAATGGACAGCAGGGGAAATTCTCCTGAAAGCCTTTTATCTTGCATTTTGTTGACTTAACATGAAAAATTGTTACAGTGTTCTTACAGAAGGCTAAGAAACGCCTTGCAATAATATATGAATTGGAAATCATTTTCAAACGTGTAAGGAATAAATTTAAACCTGAAAAAACATGAATAAAGCAATTCAAGTCATCATTTACAGTACGAATATTTGCTCTGAGAATGAACTGTTTGGCCCTTCAGAAGGAGGGAAGTGAAATAAGTGCTGCACAGCCTAACAAGATTAAATGAGAAGATAAGTTGTGAAATCATAGCTACAGAGGAACTAAAGAAAATAATTGTTCAGAGGGATGATGTGAAAAGAATATTTAGACCTGCGTGAAAAATTTAGATCTGCACTGACAGGCTGTACACATTTGTGTGGAGTAATTTAGAGAGTGGAAACTAATAAATGCCATATCCTTAGCTGTAAATGACAGGGTTCTTATATTAGAGCAGTCCCAGGGAGCTTGAAAAAATTGCTTGCTTGTATGCAATTGCTTTTATTTAGAAGAAAGAGGCGGCCTTCTTTTGGAGTTCAAGTCTTCCTGTAATAAGGCTCTTCTGAAGCCTTATATTAAAGCAGAGGTGTCACAGTGGAGAGGAGCAGTGTTTTCAGAATGGAAAAAAAAAAGCATCATGGGGATTCGGGGGGCTTCTGCTTATCAAACTATTTATTTTCCTGCTGTAGGGGAAACAGAAATTTAAAAATGTACGATGACACACGTCCTGGCAAGAGCTCTAGAGCTCCAGCACACAATTTCTATTGGCACAGCATGTGTTTACAGTATGTCACCGATATCACTGACCAATATCCTGAGCACCTCTCCCGAAATCGCAACGCTGAATGACCTGCACCTGAAGGAAAGACACGTCTGTTATTCTTGCTTCATTCTTGTATTAAGTAAAAACACGTATTATTTAGAATGCCCAAATATACTATATGTTGGAGAATATATTTTGATATTGCAATATACAGAAAGTAAACCTATAATGGCCTCAACAGAGAAGTTCTGAATAACTGTAGAATATAGCCAGTGGGTTTTGACAACATATGGTATGTTGTCAAATGACCAGTTAAAAACAAGCATAAATAAGATCTCAGCATTTTTCTTTTCATGATAGTAGTGTTAATCATAATTACCACTTTTCTAATCCATACGGTTTTCCTGAAGCACAATCAGGTAGTTTGGATTGCATTGCCATAAGCGGGGGTCATAATTATACTATTTATTTTATTTGTCTTGTGCTGTATGTTGCATGGTGTTGCACATGCTCTCTAGTCTGCAAAAAGCTACAGACACCAAGATAAGCTTTGGCTAAATGAGCCACTGTTGCTCTGGCATGGACCTTTACCTTCTGTAATCTAAGGTTGTAAACACACGTTTATTTACTGAAGCAAAGAGAAATAGAAAACTCAAGTGTAGTGGGTTTATTCTAATATCAAACAACAAATACAAGTAGAAAATACAAGTAAAAAAAATACATGACAGGTTTTCATGAAATGAGAAATGCTGTCAAAGAACAGTAAGCTTTATTACGTTGTTATTGGGAATGACCACCCCAAACATGAATATGGTAATGGCGTTTTTGACACTCGACTTGGTCGATCTCTTTCACGGCAAGCTCAATCACTCTTCCTGTGAGGCCAGTTGGTGATGTAAATTTGCTACTCTTTCTACGCCACCTCGGAAGGTCTCGAGCCTACAAAAATGGAAATTTCATCTTTCAGATGCCAGCAATACCCCCGAACAACCTCAAAGCACGCAGAATGTTTTCATGGAGATGACAAGTTATGGTAATTCTTCTTAAGTGGGGGCTTTTTCTTCTTGTGTAGTAGTACAAAAAAGTGTCATTAGTGGGGCACAACTAAGACAGACTAGTGATGGCCAATCTTTGCCATGCTGATGAGCCCTAATAAGAGCAAGCTGTGCGTGTCTTCTAACCTTGACTTTATACTGTTTGTACAAATAGCAGAATTAGAAGCCTCTTTAGACAGTTGTAATTGTAAAATTGCAAAAGCTCCTAGCATTGTAATATGGCAAGATCTCTTAAAAGACGCCATAAGCCTGATACAAATGATACACACATATGCAACATGAATGCTGCAACATGAACGCTGGTGGAATTAACCTCTATCTGTCCCTTAGCAGCTTGTACACTGATGCAGTGCACTGATCTCCATTCTTAAATTGACATACATGTGAGAAATGTTTATCGTTGCCTTGAATTCAGAACAGTTTTGTCTGCTTTTCACTTTTAGATTGAAGAGGACACCTGGCAGAAGTACTACCTTGAAGGAGTAGCCAATGAAATGTATACAGAGTATCTGTCTAGTGCCTTTGTGGGCTTGTCCTTTCCTACGGTTTGTGAGTAAGTACACTATGTAGACCTTTTTTAACATAGATTACAAAACCCACTACGGGAAGAATGAAATCACATGCCTTGATATAATTCTGGGTGATATTTGTAAACACAACATACACTGTACATTTGTATTTTTGACCACATATAGACTTTTTTAATATGTCTGAAGGATTAAGTTTATTCTTTGCTTCAGGTAAACAGGCCTAATGCAGATTTTCTAGGCAGCAGTGTGGAGCTGAGATCATGGCTCTGTACCTCTGTACACTGTCCCAGTAAAACATGCAGCATATAAATGGTTATCTTTGTCAATTAAAATTGTGTTCTTAATGGATTTTCCTAGTAAAAGAAAGGAGAAGAAAAGGGTGTATTTACTTATTACAAGTTTCTTTTTCCAGACTGTGTTACGTGAAGCTGAAGCTGTTGTTGATAGCCATCGAATACAAGTCTGATAAAAGGGAGAGCAGGTAAGATATTTTATTCATTTTAAACTTCATTGGATGTTACAAGAATAGTATGGACAGTTTCCCTTCAGAGGTAGAATTATCTAAAATATTACAGTTCATTTTTTTATCTTGTAACATTCATTTTTCAGTTTTTCTCAGGTACAATTGTTTATTTTTGTGTTGCTGCTTGTAAACATTTTGTAATTTTCCAGAATTACCAGCTCTGTAGTCCTATGTATTATTCCTAATATAAATAACATGCAGTGATATTGATCTAAAATATCAAACTATATTCACAGTAGGTTGTGAAAAGTCTATATGTTTCTGAGCACAGGTAGTGTGGAATTTTAAGCAGGAACTGTAGCTGAGAACACAACTTTATTACAGAACATACCCACTCACCACTGCTAATGAAGATGTGCATGTTATCTAGAGTTGTTACTGGTAATACTGTCAAATTCACTAAAGGGTCATTACATCACTTAAATTCACTGTAACCCTATTGATGTGAGCTTCACTCTGAGACAATATTGGCCTCTCATTAATAGCGTTACTGTGACATTTTGTTGACTAAATCCTGAACCATGATAACTATTAACATGAAGTACTATGTTTCAGTCACCTCAAATTGCCGGATCCCACCCTTCCACTATCAATACCTTTGTCAAGTTCTGCTGTGTATAGAAACCTTATTTAATAATTCTCTCCTGCTGTGACCTGCGCAAGAGGGACCCTAAGGGAATTTCCAAACACCGATATCTGAAAGACTTTTCAATATACAAATCAATGAAAATGACTTAGTCGTTATTTTTCTCCTTAGGGGTTGGGGAAGTTTTTCAAAGAATATTTTAAGTACTTCTTTAAACACAAATATGTGGGGGGTTTTTTGGGCAGTAGTCTAAATATTAACTTGAGACTATAAATCATACACAACACAATTATTTTGTGCTAAACAGCAAAGCAAAAAAAAAAGTTTCTTTTCAAAAAAAGATTTATACAGTATATACATATATATGTACATATATATGTACTATAAATACAGTATATATCCCAAAAACCTTTTGTGTTTTATTCCTGTGTTGGCAAATTTCAAGCCTTTGTTTTGGTTTCATTTAATTTTTCTATTTGTTCTGTTGTTTTTTGTCTTTGTTGTTTTTTTGTCTTTTATGTTGTTTGTATTCTTCAGAAAAATAAATGCGGGGAATTTTGAACTTTTTTGGTTGAAACATTTCATAACGAGGTTCGCTAATTGAAGCGTAATACTAATTATTTTCCTGTTGAAAGGATCTTAAATGTATATGAAGTCAACATTAACCTGTAGGTCGCCCCAAAACCATAGGTTTTGCAGTTTGTGAACAAACAGAGAAGTTCTTCATACAGATTTAAAATCAGTTTCAATGGGAAAGAACCTGTTCCTCTCTGAGAGATTGCCCTTCATTTAGTGACACTTCCTATGAAATGTTGCCTCTTACTTTCTGTTCAAATTTCCTTATCGCACTGTTTGATTTGAAATTTTTTTTCTTGTTGTTTGCAGAAGCCGAAAGCGGTATGCACTCTTCGTTATCTCTCCTACAAACCTCAGCCCTTCCTTCACTACTTTAGATCTGACAACTTCAGGATTAAATCTCAAGGATAATATTCCCCCCAACCTGGCCAATATCTTTAGTAGTTTTATTTTTATTTCTGTGCCTAATGCACTAACTTCTTTGCAGGCAAATCAAAAAGAGAAAAGGGCAGTTTTTTACTGTAATGACACTGCTGGTGTATCCAGGCAAATATCCCCCTCCATTTTTTACTTTTTTAATTTCGAGAATTTGTCTCACGTTCGTCCGCTATTTCGTCACCTGAGGTGTTTTTTGAGTGTCTGTCGGCTGTTGTTGTCTTCATTCTCTTGTCTAGCCTGATTCTTTTCCCTGTGTTTTTCTTCCGAATGTTTTTTTTATGAAGCAGTACTTCATGTTCTCATAGTTTCATTTCACATATCTCAGCCAAGAAGCTACATAAATGCTGAGTCGCTTTTGTGTATCAGCGAGGTTTCATTTTTTACTATAAAAATAATGATTTCTTAGTTGTTTCTTTTGATGAATACCACTGTAAACAAAGAACTTAAGTTCATTTCCATTGTACTGCACTATACTTCTTATGAGGGCATGTTTTTTTTTCTTCAGTTTTAATATCAAGATATTTTTGGTTGTTCTTTCACCATGTTATTTTAATTTTTTTTGCATTGAATGATAATATAAAGGCATGGAAGCAACAATTTTGTTTCGGCTAACCCCTGTTTTGATCCAGATTGTATTGCTAATAAGTTTCAATTTTGTGCAAAACTTGCCGTAATTCACTTTCATTCCTGCTGTTCATCACTGCCTTCATTCCATGTGTGTGCTCTCGTCTCCCAACCTATATCCTAATGCCTGTGCGCTCCTGAGTAGATGTTTGTAAAGAGAGGTGACTTCCTGTCAGTTTGGTGTTTAATGATCCAACTGCAGAGAAGTTACTGCAACAGTTAGCATCTACATGGTCTGCAGTGTTTGCATCTCTTCTCGTAGATGTGCCGTTTTTTAATTCTCGACTCGGTAACAGCATGCTTAATAGAGTGTAGTGTGAAACGGCATGATGTGTTTCTTGTTTCCCAGAATATGAGGTTTTGTCACCGTTTATTTTACTCTAAATTAATTATTCAATTAAAAACTGGAAATTCTATTTTATCTTCAGAAACTGACTGAAATATCTCATCATTCCATTTACCTGCATGCAGAATATTTGTAAGAGACACAAATATGTATTTATTTAAGTACCTTAGTACAAATCTCAGATTTGGGGAGCAAAGTTTGTGATCTTGCACTGGTGTTCTCTTATTTTCTTTTCTTATAGCATGTGGTTTGTGATTGGTTTCTCTTTTTTGTTTAATGAAATATCTCTGGAGCCCAGAAGAAAGAGTGAGAATAATATCACACAACATTCCTGCATGAATTAGTTCTCCTCTGTATTTGCATTAGTTCATGTGCATCTTTGAATGTATGCAATATTTAACAGTAGAAGGGATGACTGCATATGCATGATCCATAAATTGATCAATACATGAAGCTATAAGTTTTCACTTTCATCTGGGCTCATTTACCATAGTCATAGACATGGTTAGTTTTACTGTTTGATAAATGTCACAGCTACCGTAGGTTAATATCATTGATGATTCCTTTTTATAGGCAACCATTAATGAAAACTGTTGTTCAGTCGCGTTTCAGTCTAATTAATGGGGAATGATACAGTGTTTCTATAGGTGCTGCCTCCATACTGCCAATTGACTTTTGCTGTAAAGATTTCTGGTTTTGGGTTTTTTAGGTGTTTAGATGTTTAGAAAATTATTTTTACCTAAAAGGAAAAAGAACGCTTTTTAGAACACAATCAATATGCAACATATTATCTCATTCCTAGGAAATAATGATTGCAGATGAAATTAAAAACCTTCAAAGAATTAGATTTGTATGGAGAATAATTTGTTATTTTAAATTATTACATGCCATTTAAACAGTACTCTCAGTACTCTTGGGTTCAGAGGGAATTTTAAAGTTTAATTTTCATATTTGGGTGGGTTCACACAAAAGTTCAAAACATTCTTTTTTTTTAATTCTGAATCTTAATAAATATTTTAAAAAATACAAGGGATTATGAGACATTTTTAAACCAGTGGTGGAATTTAACGTATTTTATTTTTCTGAACTTAAAAAATTAATTGACTAAATAAGATAAAAAACAGATTGACAACCGTCTCTGCATGTAAATAACATATTATTATAAACTACCATTGCAATTGTAGAAAAGCTGATTGTTTGCAGTTTCTCATTGAACTCAGCCTTTATATTATGACAGTACCCTATATTATAAATAATTTTAGGTTTAAGAAACGCTAAACAAACATTTTGTATATGCATATCTATGCACATTCATATTTTGATTTGGCATGTTTCTAGGTCCTGGTATGTGTCAAATGAATTTTGCTCTTTATTTTGCTTTATACAAGGTATGGCTCAGCCAAACCTTGCCATTAGTCTTGCCTTGGTGAAGATGTGTTTACAGGGGTTCAGGACAAAACAAAAGAAGCTGAATGTCTTACTGACTGACAGTCATCATTATTGTAATACTCTGTTGAATGCATTTGATGTACAGTGTTTTGGAGTTCTAAATAGTATACTACTGTATGTATACTATCATTATACAGTGTTACTGTACATGCATTAATTCAGCTCAGAATTAAATTTAGAGTAAGGTTTTAAGTATGGATTGTAGTGACTCTGCTGTGAGATCCTTAAAAATACCAATCCAGCAGTCCTGCATTTGTTTCAAAAGATTGAAATGCCTTCAACGAACAGCTCTTTCAATGTTCCAACTGATGGAGCATCACTCTGCCAAAACCTGCTACTAACACTTTCATATCCGTTAACACCCAGCATTCAGTGGTATCTTGGTACAAACGTCTGACTACAGAAGTATCAAGGATCAAGCCATTTCTGTATTTTGTTATCTTCAGATAAATGTATCATATATTTGTGTGTACCATTCCTCTTGATTAGAACATGCGGTGGTTAATTATTTCCAAAAGGTGTAATGACTGTGATTTTCTCTCTACCGAGCAGCATCCTTATTAACCCTGGGAACCATGTGAAGATGCAAGAAGGTACCTTAGGATTCTTTATTGCCAGTGATGCTAAAGAAGTGAAAAGGTAAACTTGTGCTTGACTGGGAGAATGGAAAGTCGTAGAGGTGTGGACTAGTGGTCAGGGCTCTGGAATCAGAATTGGAAAGTTGTGGGTTTCAATCCCAGGTCAGACGCTGCTTTTGAACCCTTGACTAATGTACTACTTCAGTCTGCCTGTTCTGGGAAAATGCCGGCTCTTCAGTGGGCTAAAATATACAGTAGTTGACTTGGATAAAAGGATTAGGCAAAATAAATTAATCATGCTAAAGTGAAGATGCTGGCGTGTTGGAAGATTGTTGGTTTGCTTTGTGCTCCATTAAGGAGTTCAGACAGTATCTTGTTAACGAATAAGTAATAAAAAACACCATCATAACTCCTTCATAAGCATTGGTCAACACTAAATGAGGAGGTGCTTACACTGTAGTCCTTCACAACCAGGTGTGCAATTGACATTACAGGCACACAAATATTTATCACCATTCACAGTGTCAGCTGAAAGCTGAGGGCACGACTCCAGATACGAAGTCAGGTGAAAATGATGGAAGACACTATAAAGGACTTGAGACCTGACTTTTTGCAGATGAAGCTCAGTAGCAGTGGTCCTGATGTGTGTTTTGCTATATGGTTTTTATACCTGCTGTGTAGTGTTTATGAAGGAGTTATGATGGTGATTTTGGGGTTAATTCAGGTAAAACATCAGGATTCAGATACTTTTGGCAGCTCAGTGTGGAGAACTTCCACATGCAGGAGACTTCACAAGGGATGAAATGATTTAGGATCCAAGTAAACTCAAGCATTTCCGACTGCACTGTCCACACCAAGCCATAGAGATTCGAAAAATAATTTCTCATTTGCTACAGTAGATAGTTATAGGGCGTGGTCATGCTGGAAACTGTTTTGCATCTTAGAACATGTTGTCTATTCAGAAATTTCACATGCATTTCTATCTGTTCAGTTGGTGAAGCAGTTTCTGATTGTGTAGTGGGGCTGCAGGCTGATAATGGGTCACAGTTCACCCAGGTGGGGGGAATGAAAATGCTATATCAATGGGAAATATCAGTTATCAGAAGTTATAAGAGACTTTGATTCTTAATCACCACTATTAATAATTAATGTTTATTAATTATGATGTGCTTTGTCATTTTTTCTGTTGTAGCAGGCAGGTGGTATGAGTGTTTTAAGAAAACTGTCAGTGTTTCCACTGTGTTTCTTTAGGGCATTTTTCTACTGCAAAGCTTGTCATGATGACATCACAGATCCCAAAAGGATTAAAAAGTGTGGCTGCAAAAGGCGTAAGTTCAATTTCTCTTTCCTGTTTCAGAATGGGACAAGAATTGTTGAAATTGTGTATTTCTTTAAATTTCAGTGCTCACAAATTGTAAAGCTGAGGATGATCAGATTTAATATTATAGTAACAAGCCACAACTTTTATGAAAGAATGCTTTCACAGGACGGTTTTGTATGCCTGAAATATTTTGTTTTTTGGGCTTAATTTTAGGTACAATCACAATGTTTACAATGAAATTGCTTTTATGACAAAGTTCTTAAACACATGAAACAAACACCCCTTACACACCATGGCCAGGACCTGGAGTTAAAGAACTTTGTCATTTCTGTCAGTGTCATAGCATTATGGATGAGACTTAGAATTAAGCTTCAGTGCTGAAACATTCAGAGAGAGAGAGAGTGTTTAAAGTGAAGCAGCCACACATCAGCATGTTAATGATGTGATGCCAAACAGATGTAGAAATCAGATGACGTGATTAGTGAGGCTGAAGAAGGAGGCTGTCAGAATCCAACTGCTTCTCTTTGAGAGCAACCTAGGTAATGTTACTAGTCAGGTGGAAATTAGACGCGTGTGTTTCAGAGCCAGCAGAAACACATGGAAACACCTTATTGCCATTTCATCATTTTACTGTTAATATCATCTATGTTAACTCAGTTCCGGAAAGGATTTGTACTGAAGATTTGCTATGGTTTTGTCTAAATTACCCTGTTGAGCAGTGTTTATATTTAAAGGTGTTAGAAAAAGCAGTTCTTTCAGCAGACGAATTTGAATCTAAATTAAAGAATCCATCTATTAGAAATTTGTGACAAAAATACGCGAAAGTATATTTTCCAGATGCTCCTTCATCTGGACACAAGTCTTAATTTGAAGGTAATGCAAAATAAGAACAAAAGGTTACAATTTAGATGGGACCATTCAGCTCTCCTAGTACATTTGGTATTTATTAGTGAACTAATAAAAGAATGTCATCCAGCCATTTCTTGAAACACAAACTATTGAAAGAAAACTAAACCAAAGGTTTACCAGTCTTGAGCACTGATAGTCATGAATAATAACATTAAGAAACGATTTTTTAGTATTACGGAATCTCTGGATTACTGTTCCAGCAGAGCTAGCATTAACATTAATGTAGCAGTGTCACATTGTTATTACCTGACCTACATAGCCAGTCGCCCAAACTACTTAGGCCATGTATTAATAATTCAGCTTAAAAAATACCAAGGCTGTAAAGGCCAGAGATAATTACTTTAAAGCAGCCTAAATAAACAGTTACAGAAAAACAAAAATCTACTGTCATTTTCTCATGTCAGCCTCACTTATTCATTCAGAACTGTGGAAATCTATGTACTGTATACAGTAAGTAGACCTTTGGTTTCAAAATGTTTCATGGGAAAAAAAATAATTATATTGGGATTTCTATCCATAATGCTGCGTATGTTTTTGTAGCAGCGGTTTTTGTTGTTGCCGTTATGTTTATTTTTTTTTAATGATTAATGTTGGCAAAATAAATATGTATATACAGTATGCTATGTTCTTATGGGGAAAAAAGTCCATTTCTTTTATGAAAATTTGTGTTGCCAGTTTTATGACCATTGACATATTTTTGATTTATTTTTTCCTTGCTGCCTTGGAACACGACACTATATTTTAACTGCACACTGATAGTGATATATTGTGAGTAAAAACGGGTTCCCTGTTCCCAGACTGCAGTCCAACTGTCTTTCTTCAGCAGATAGTTTCTATCTATGTTGCATGTACCAGTGTAGCAAACACATCCCTCCCACACCTGTCATCTCTATACTGTCCACAGATAAAAAAGAATACAGCAGTACTCTGTGCAGAGAGAATAACACTTGATTACAAGTCAGAATATGAATCGAGTCCATTTCACTAATGGGTATCTTCTGCTTTGGTTAGAAAAATAGCAGACAATTGCATGGGAAGCAGTGGAAGATAAATATTCCTAAGATTTCAAAATGTTTTCAGTTAAGCCCAAGCTTACAAACACATTACAAAAGCTCTTCGTAATTCCAGCCCCCCTCCCCCCAAACAAAAAAACAAAATTAAGCGGTGACGATCTACAATGTCAAACATAATGGATTGATATTGGTAACATTAGTCATGGATTTAGAGTAGCCAAGAAAAGAAAAAACTGCAACTTGGGCCGTTTAATTTCATCTGCCTGCTGTCAGAACCAATTTTGCATGCTGCTGTATTATTTAGAAAGCGGAAAGTGTTCTGTGGGAAGTTCTTCAAATTCTTGGACTTAACGAACAGCGTCGCCAAAACACAATCAAAACAATCTGGTCCTCCTCTTCTGCTTCAAGGCTCTCCCTGCCCTGGTATTTTGCATAGCTTCTTTCTCGTATTTAGGGATCATCAGTACTTGGCGAATTGAAATGACATTGTCCCCATTTCAATTCTTGATGGTAGTTGGGCCCTTTTTTACTCACTGGCCATGAGTATACTCCTCAGATTATCTCGTCACTGTTGAACTAGCTGCTGTACAGCAACTTGCCACTAGATGTCCCCATAGTTCTACTGTTAACTCCTGTGATATCTGAGAGCATATACACTGAGGTCCTCAAACCCTTGTTTCAGGAATGCAATCAGCAGACAATACTGTTACAGTATATTGAACAGTGCAACAAAACCAAGCAAGCTCATTTATTTCATAGTGCTGTTCCCTTCCTATTTTGTTTTACTGGTTTTTCACACTTCTCCTTTTAAATATTTTGAGGAAATCTAACAATATGTATACAGTATATGAGAGGTATATTGATCTGATAGTGTAATTAATATGTTAATTATTATATATTAACCTAATTGGTGTTCCAGTATGATTGAAAGTAGATTTGATGAAGAAATTAGAACAACTAAAGAACTTCAGGTCTTCATTAGTAAACATCCACTGTCACTGTTGATAGCATTCTTGATAAATGAGGTTGGTTTTCTTTTGATTATTTTCTTCTTTGAGGATTCAGTGCTGGGTTGTGTGTGAAATCATTTAAATCATAAAAACTCATCCAGTCTTGTGGTTTCATTTCCCTACATGTACATGTATTTCTGACTAACATTTCAACATCCTGAGCTCTTTATGAATGTAAAATGAATGTTCAGAAGTAATGGGTTTAAGCATGGTACCTGTATTATTTTATTTTAAATATCACAGTCTTATTGCTCTTATTTGATTGCTTACACTGTTTCAACACGTAAAGCAATTAATTTGATTCTTTATTATTAAGGTTAAATCCTCTTTTCTGCATGCTAATGATTACTAATTCAAATAATTATGCATGGTCTTATAAGAACAACAGTCCCTGAAGGCTTTGTTTTAAAGTCATGTCTTGTACCGAACTCTCTCTCTCTCTCTCTCTCTCTCTCTCTCTCTCTCTCTCGAGTGGGGAGCTAAATTGGCCACTTAATTTGGGTTCATTTCCACAAACGCAATTCAAAAAGCTGTTTTTCCCTAAAGATTGTATTTCTTTAAAAAGTGTCAGACTCAATTACCGTTCGTTTGCAAAACAGCTCCATGAGAATGAAAACCAGGGACTGTTACTCCCCAGCATCACAGCATTTTTTTGCTGCACTGTTTCACTACAGTGCCCCTGAGTTTTTATGCACATCTTTTTTCCTGCTGTGCAGCAAGCAAGTATTGCTTTAAAACAGATTTGCAAAAGTTTAACCCTTCTGCTCTTTGCTACATCTTGTACATCAGTTACAGAGCGGCACAATCGGGCAACAACGGCTGGTTGTTTGAAAAAAATTCAGCATCACTGTGCAGTGTACAAGCTGATTAATTATTCAATTACAGATCGACAAGTCAGTCACAAAATGACTGAACTCACCTTCCAAATTTTATCTCGCTGAGGAACAAAACACTTTTTTTCCTCTAATGTACGGTCACTTACAAAACAAACTTGCAGAGCTTCAGAAGTGTAACTTTTACATTTTGACTTTGCAGTGCTTTTGGGGGCTGTCGTGAAATAACTGGATTAGTTGATTATGGAATGTATAGTGTCATGCGATTAACAGGGCTGATGCTGCATGGTGGATACAGCTACAAGATCCTGATAAGATGCAAATCACGGAAATGTAAAATCAAAGGAGAGTTCCAGAGAAAATGGGGTTTGCAGCCGAAGATATCATTCATCCATTACCCTGAATGCCCCCTCTCACTGTCATATTGTTACCCTTGCTTGACCGATATTAACATGAAAGGCCTTAGAACAGAGCTTGACCCTGGAGATTGATACCTTCCCAAGGCCCTTAAAAACACACACATTTGTATGGCTCAGTTAAATGGGAAGACCTAAAAAAACAGTCATGTCTGGGGAAAAAAAGGACAGTGTTGTTGATTTTCAAGGTACTGTATGGTGTCTTAAAACGATCGAGATGCAGCTTTAAGGTAAAAACTGTGAACATTGTTTGTGTTGTTACCTTTCCTTTCAGACCCAGCTGATCGGAGGGGCTGGATTTGTAAACTACTTCTAATTGTGAATATCTGTAAATGAAAGCAGTGTACATCTGTGTTCCCCAAAAGCATGCATTCTCCCATTCATTAAAAAATGCTTTGTTAATCTGTGAGTCCCTCCACTTTGTGGAGATGGACAGTCACATCTCCAGATGGGGGTCAAGCCTGTGACCAGTCTCTCTAAGGCCTGCACTTTTCCCCTCTGAAGTTACCTTCCGAGTGCCTGGTTAAGTATAACCTTGCCATTAACCTGCTGCTTTTCCTTTCCTCTCATCCAAAACATGATTATAGCCAAGATGTCCATCTACAAAAGAATGAAACTGGCATGTTGTTTTGATTGCGGACGCTCTGAGCGTGACTGCTCTTGCATGTCAGGCAGTGTACATAGTAACATGGACACCCTTGAGAGAGCCTTCCCACTTTCTTCTGTCTCTGTTAATGATTGCTCAACCAGTTTACGTGCCTGTAAGTTTGAACACCAACACATGCTGTTCCGTGTTTGTGATCGTGGCGTTATCCGCGTGCTTGTG